CTCATGCTTGAATACTTGGTCCTCGGTTGGTAGAACTGTTTGGGAAGGATTAGAAAGTGGGGCCTTGTTGGAGGATGTATGTCCCTGGGGGTAGGCTTTAAGGTTTGAAGAACTCACATCAAGCCCGGTTTTGTTCTCTGCCTGCAGTTTGTGGATCAGATATGAGGTCTCAGCTATTTACACAGCACCATGCCTGCCCACCTGCCGCCTAACTCCCCACCATGATGACCATGGCCTAGCAATGTGAAACTGTAAGCAAGCTCCCAATTAGATGCTTCCTTTTATAAAATTTCTTGATCACGGTGTCTCCTCACAGTGCTAGAACAGTAACTAGGGCAGACGGGGAGGCAGGGGTTTGATGTGAGATGTTGGCAGAGCCAGCAAAATTTCTGACTAATTGCTTGCAAGACTAAATGGGTTTCGTGTCTGGAACGCCTAGAAAGATGGAGTTGTCATTTCTGCTCCATCTCTCACATCTATCTTCTGTCCTGTTTCACTGTCACTTTCACAGTTTAGGTCCCATTGACTGTCATCCCTGTTGTTGCCTTCACACGGATCGTTGTGGAAATTGGGTTTGTTCAGTTCAGGCCTTTGTATAGATTTGACAGTTGCTCACAGAGTCCAAAGTGTAACACAGAAAACCCGCTCAGTTCAAATACAACTTGTCTCCTCTAAAATTCAGTTGGAAATTAATCCTTAATATGAGATATCAAGAGATATTGGAACCTTAAAGAGGCAGTTAGGACTCTGAATGAACTAGACTGTGTAAGTCCACTTTAAACCCAGTTTGGCTGGGTCTCATGTACATTCACTGTATTTCACCATGTGGTTCCATCACTGCCTCAGGGCTCTGTCAGCAAGGGTATCACCCAATTCCTAGTTCCAGGCAAACACTAACTCTATCTCACTGGATTTGCCCATTTTGCCCATTTTGTATCAATGGGATCATTCTCATTCTCTCTCTCTGTCTCTCTGTCTCTCTGTCTCTCTCTGTCTCTGTCTCTCTCTCTCTCTCTGTGTATGTGTGTGTGTGTGTGTTTTATCTTGCTTCTTTTATTGATATAACAGTTTTGAGGTTTCTGTTCCAGACACTTATCTTCCCAGTACTGGGTCTTCTTAGGTTCCCAAATGGCTCTCTTTCCTTTTAGTCTTTGTAGCCATTCTAAATTGTTTATAATACTCACATGAAATCAACCCCCACAAATAGACTCATAGTTGATGAGTTTCTGCCTTGACCTCAGCTTTCTCTTTCAGTTTTTTAGCAAATGCCCATCCAATCACTCAGAGACTCAGTCCTCCAAACCAGAAAGCTGAGGCTCACTCAAATCTTTTCATCCATCTGCAGATAGAAAGTGTAGCAGAGAGGCAAGAGCTCAGAGAGACTCAAAACCTACATCCATCTTCACTCCTGATGTGGCCTCATTTGCAGGCTTTGGGCAACTTTCTCTGATTTCATTTCTCTACTTGGGCAGTAAAGAAGATGTGCTAGGATCGAATCCTGTAGTGTACATGAAGTGCTCAGCACACAGCATCACCAAACAATCCCATTTCCATCTTAGTTTCCTGTTTCACCTTTCTGATAGATTACCACAAATGCAATGGCTTGAGCGACACACCTATATCCTCCTACACTTCCTGAGGGCAGAAGTCGGCATTGAGTCTCATAGGGTAAAATCAAGTCATATAAAGAGTTTCATTTCTTCTAGAAGCTCTTGAAGGGGAATCCATTTTCTTGACGTCTAATTTCCGGAGGCTGCAGGCGACTGTCCTTCCCTCTTCCCAGTCAGGTCTTATACTTCTGCTCCTAACGATCATTGTTTTTCACTCCAACCCACCAGCCTTCCTAATTATAAAGATCTTTGTGATGACACGGCACATGTGGAAAATACAGGACCATCCCTCCCTTCATGAGAGCTTTCATTTCACCATTTCTGCCAAATCTCCACTGCCATGTAAAGGAATTGGACAAATGTCTCAAACGAGGAAGTACTACCACACCATCTCCGAGATCTGTGTCAGTGTCCCTAATACCTGGCCTTTTCCCTTCAGTGATTAAGGCTAATCCTCTCCAGCTCTATCTACTTGCCACTCTGTTCCCTTATTATCTCCTGCTCATTCTCTAATATGATTATTGCTATTGCTTTTTGAGACAGAATCTCTCTACATACCCCTGGCTATCCTGGAACTCACTATGTAGACCACTTGAAGTGCTGAGATTTAAGCATGCACCACCACTCCCAGCTCTCCTGCTCCTTCTGGACAACAGAATTTCAAAAGTTTTCACCAGAGCACCCCCAAGTGATATCTAGCACCTTGGTCCTTCCCCCACTTGCAGCTAAAGTCCCAAAGGCCATCTTTACGCAGAGACTTTGGCTGTGTTCCAGACCATAAACATCTGTCTAATCTCAGGACTGAAAACAGATCTGGGTGCAAAAGATGGGCGCAGGAGGATCAGAAGTTTAAGGTCATCCACGGATCCACAGCAAATTTGATGTCAGAATGGGCTACAGGAAACCCAGACACAAGACCCCCCCAAATTAAATATAAAACTAAAAAATTCTACCAGGCTGTGCTTGTGTTAGTTTTATGTCAACACAAGTTTTAGTCACTAGAAAGGAGGGCGCCTCAATTGAGAAAATGCCCCCATAAGACCAGGCTGCAAGAATGTCCATAAGGCATGTTCTCTTTCTCTCTCTCCCTCCCTCCCTCCCCCTTCCTTTTTGTTATTTTGAGACATGGTTTCTTGTTGTTTTGGAGGCTGTCCTGGAACTCACTCGGTAGACCAGGCTGGTCTTGAACTCACAGAGATCTGCCTGCCTCTGCCTCCCTAGTGCTGGGATTAAAGGTGTGTGTCACCACAGACTGGCTGTAGGGCATTTTCTCAGTTAGTGGTTGATGGGGGGAGGGCCTAGCCCATTGAGGGTGGTGCCACTTCTGGGCTGGTGGTCCTGGATTCTGTAAGAAAACAGGCTGAGCAAGCCATGAGGAACAAGTCAGTAAGCAGCATTGCTCCATTCCTCTGCATCAGCTTCTACCCCCAGGTCCCAAATTCCTATTCTGATTCCCGTCAGTGATGAATTAAACAAGCTAAATAGACCCTTTCCTCCCCAACTTGCTTTTGGTCATGCTGTTTCATCATAGCAGTAATTGATGTGAAGTTCCCAACTCTCTACTGCCTGGCCATACATTTGCCTATCTGAAAGGTATGGAATGTTATTCTATTTTAATTGCCATGGTTCTGATTAGTAGTGAGGTAGTTCATAATGGGCTTGTAAATACTCTACATGCTTCCATATTGCTATAAGATTTATTGGTTAAGGTTTCATATAGATAGCTTGTTTCACACTTATTATGTAGTGGACAATAGCTCTGAACTCCTGATCCTCCTGCCTTTACCTCCCAAGTGCTGGGGTTACAGGTGCACACTACCACACCTTGTTTATACCGTGTTGGGGATAGGACCCAGGGTTTCACGCATGCTGGGCAATCTCACAACTGAGTTACATATCTGACCCTGTGGTATGATATGCAATATGTATTAATATCTGCACCTGGTTTTCAAATTAAATCATGAAACTTTGGTAGAAAACGGCTCTAGGAGAATATTAATTCTAATGCTTGGTCTTTGATCTTCGTGGAATGGAGTTCTTAAATCCCTTGGAATTTCCTGCATAAGATCATCTGTTGATCTAATGAAACAACTCTTGGTAGGCTCCAGGATGGTCTCTCAGCTTGGGAGCTTGCTGCTAGTAGAAACAAGCATGCAACTAACCCTGTCAGCATCAAAATGGAATCCCTTATGTCAACCTCTGTAAAGCAACTGTTTCTTCAACTTTGCCACCACTTTGGTTATTAGTCATTGTGGTAGAGGATATTGTTTCAAAATGTCTGCCTTGACCCTCCACTTTTCACCTAAATCTTCCTCTTGTCCCAACACCTCTGAATATGGGCATAGTTTACTGCGGCAAAAATATTGCCACTGCCTTGCACTAAACTCTCTCTCCTGCCTCTAGCAGTGCATACACACAGTAAATAACAGTGCCGCTTGTGTCCCTGCCTACAATGCAAGTTCCCTAAGGGAGGGGACTGACTATGGTGTAGCTCATTGGAAAGAATACTCAATATAATCAATATTTATTTGTTGAGAAATGGATAAGCAAAGGGTGCACTTAATCACCAATTATCCTAGATACAAACTACAGCTGGGCACAGGGTATTCGGAAGCTTGAGTGGACAGGGAAAGATTTCTCTATATTTGGAGGTTTTATTTTCTGGACCCTTGTTGATGGAAGTTTCCCTCCCACCTGGTCCAGCAGCCGTTTAGTCCCAAATAAATACACAGAGGCTTATATTAATTATAAACTGTTTGGCCAATTGCTCAGGCTTCTTATTGGATAGCTCTCTTTTAATCACTAACCCATTTCTATTAATCTATGTATCTCCATGTAGTCTTGGCTTACTGGAGAATGCCCAGGCTTCCTACCTTCTCAGTAGCTACATGGCAATTCCTCGACTCCACCTACTACCTTTCTATCCCTGTTTGGATTTCCCACCTGGCTAAATCCTGCCTGTCCATTGGCCAAAACAACTTTATTTATTTATTTATTTATTTTTCAGTTTAAATTTAGATAAGAAACAAGGTTGCTTCACAAGTCAGTTCCAGGGCCCTCTCCCTTTCCCTCCCCTCCCCCCCCATTATCCCCTCATTTCCCCAGGGAGGGTGAGGCCCTCCATGGGGGTGTCCATAGTCTGTCATTTCATATAGGGCAGGGCCTAGACCCTTCCCCAAGAGTTCAGGGTGAGAGTGCACCTCACATTGTTGGATGGGAGTCCAAAGTCCGTGTGTATACTTGGGATGGGTACTGATCTGCTGCCCAAGGCTCAATAGATTACCTAGGCCTCCTCACTGACACCCACATTCAGGGTGTCTTGATCAGTCCCATGCTGGATTCCCAGGCTGATGCCTGGGATTCAAGAGTTAACCTTTGTCAGGTCAGCTGTTTCTGGGCAAAACAACTTTATTCATCAACAAATAAGAGAAACATATATTCACAGTATACAGAAGAAAATTCCCACCACCCCCCCTTGAAATCTTATGGCATTTTAAAAAGAGTGAATATAATATAAATATTGACTATTTACTGTTCAGTCAGTGCTGTGTTTTACAGGTCCTGCTCAATGGTCTTCCCAAGAGTGGGGAAGGGAAACCATGAACACTCATTTCCAAGAGGAAAGAAAAAGCATGGAGAGAGGAAGGAAACAAAGCCAGCAGAGGTAGCACGGCATGGCAGCATCTCTGAGGCAGGGATAAAAAACTGGACTCTCAGCTAAGCACTTGCTGCTGAGACAGGCTTTGGCTTGTTTGTATCCGAGTCACATTAATCTGATCATTTAGACATTAGACTTTTTAAGAAAGACCAAACATTGAAAATTTTAGTTATGTGTCACCTTGGGGGCAAGCGAATTCTGAGTTTTGTCCACAGTACCTAAGCACAAATTGCAATGCCAGTAATAAAATGAGAGCTTGGAACAGATAAACACCTGGGGCTGCTGAAAGGAATGTGTTTGTCTCAGGGCAAGGGCTGGATGGAAGGTAAATGTGTTCCTAAGAGAAACATGTCAATACAAAATCTTTTCACCAACCTTTGATGGATGTGCTAATCTTCTCAGGTCAACACAGGCTCACCCCAGCAGTGTACTGTAATAACTTATTTAAAAAGCAGCTGACTCCTATAAATGGACTTCTCCATCAATGTTTAGATTTCCTTCTCACAGATGTATTTGCTTATCAAATTGGTATTTACTATATGCAATAAGAAATCAACCGTGCATTTTGACAACAAAAGAGGCTGCAAAAGTGACCAGGTTTGGGAATTACTGTCCCTTGCTATCAATTTTGTTTGACATCCAAGGACAGAAAATGAGATAACAATAGTGTCTGATGCATGATTTTCACTATGTTATTAGCAGAAGTTGTAGATAAAATCTAGTCCATGGCCTGTATTACAAATAAAGTTTTATTGGAATACAGTCCTATCCATTTGTTTAATCAGTACCTATGGCTGTTTTTATGCTATAAAGTCAAGGTTAGACAGTTACAAGACAGACTACATGGCCTGCCAAGCCCAAAGTATTTACTCTCGGGCCTTTTTATAGAGCATGCAGGCTGATACCTAGCTGAGTGACAAGTGACATTTGTCTTACTGTACAGCTGCATCATTTTCAGAGGGATCCAAAGGGTTAGAGTCAGAGAGAATATGTGGATTACAGTCCAGAATGGGGTGCATACCTGTAAGCTACCATTTGGGAAGTGAAAACAGGAGAATTTAAGACTTTGAGGCTAGTTTGGGCTATATGAGAACTGGTCTAAAAAAAGAATGACATGTGGTTTAAGGCTTTTGTGACATCTAGGAAAGTTAAAGAAGGAAATTACCAATGCAAACCACTAGCCAGTATGCCTAGACAAGAATTTCACTGAACTAGACTCCATCTGAGAGCGTGTTAGGAGCCAACACAATATACACGGTTATCACTTTATGTCAAGGGACATTCCTTGTGTTGGCAATAGTGTACCTCCTGTTGATAGCGAATAAAACATGGCTGACAGATTGTATCGGTATACAGGCCTCTTTCTCTGACAAATGTCCAGGAGAGATGAAAACAACAAATTCAAAAGAAAGAGGGAAAGGCCAGGAACCATACTCAGGAGGCATTCCCTAGGGTCCCTGTGCCCAGGCCTCAGAACTTCAGGGGAATGACAGGCCAGTATTTTGGCTGTTTTTTGTCACAGTATTTGTCAAAGCTCAGCTGCACAGCAGCCTCCATGGCCAGGATCTTGGGAGCACTGTCCCCATATAGGCGTTTCATCTCGGCTTGGCGCCGTTCCCCAGGCTTCTCAGATGGGGGCTTCACTGACCGGTGGTGGTTGTAGTAGAGGCCATGGTCGGCATTCACATAGTCATCCAGGCGTTCTGCATCTAGTTGCTGCTGCCGCCCTGGGAATAGATAAGACCATGACCATAAAACGTATGCACATGCAGGAGAGGATCTGATGAATGCTGCCACTACTGCTGCTACACCTCAGATGCTGCGACAACTCAACTAACATGCCGCTACACCACAACTCACGTGCCGCTATAGCTCAGATGCTGCCTAAAACCCTTCTGTTGCCCTTTCCAATGGCAAATTTGGACCCTGTTGGGCAGCCGAGGTAATCTTTAAATCCTGAGGCATGACCTACAGATTCTTTTTTTTATATTTTATTTTTTAATTTAAATTTAAATTAGAAACAAGGTTGTTTCACATGTCAATTCCAGGTCCCTCTTCCTTTCCCTCTCCTCCTCCCACACCCCCCCACCAACCCCTCCAATATCCCCTCACTTCCGCTGGGAGGGTGAGGCCCTCCATGGGGGTGTACATAGTCCGTCATTTCATCCACGGCAGGGCCTAGACCCTCCCCCAAGAGTCCAGGGTGAGAGTGCATCTCTCACTGATGGATGGGTGCCCAAAGTCCATTTGTATACCAGGGATAAATACTTATCTCCTACTCAAGGCTCAATAGATTACCTAGGCCTCCTCACTGACACCCACATTCAGGGGGTCTTGATCAGTCCCATGCTGGATTCCCAGCCATCATCTGGGATTCAAGAGCTAACCTTTGTCAGGTCAGCTGTTTCTGGGGGTAAAACCAGCCCAGTCTTAACCCCTTTGCTCATCAGTCCTCCCTCTCTGTCACTGGATTTCTTGAGTTGAGCTCAGTGCTTAGCTGTGGGAGTCTGACTCTGCTTCCAACAAGCCATTGATTGAAGGAATCTAACTGAACACCCTGATATTAACCCATACATGTATGAACATCTGATCTTCGACAAAGAAGCTAAAAATATACAATGGAAAAAAGAATGCATCTTTAACAAATGGTGCTGGCATAACTGGAGGCTGGCATGTAGAAGAATGCGGATAGATCCATGTTTATCACCATGCACAAAACTTAAGTCCAAATGGATCAAAGACCTGAACATAAATCCAGCCACACTGAACCTCTTAGAAGAGAAAGTGGGTGGTACCCTTGAACAAATTGGTACAGGAGACAGCTTCCTGAACATAACACCAGTAGCACATACAGTGAGGTCAACAATTAATAAATGGGACCTCCTGAAACCAAGAAGCTTCTGTAAGGCAAAGGACACAGTCAGCAAGACAAAAAGGCAGCCCACAGAATGGGAAAAGATATTCACTAAACCCACATCTGACAGAGGGCTGATTTCCAAAATTTACAAGGAACTCAAGAAGCAAGTCTCCAAAACACCAAAGGATCCAATTAAAAAATGGGCTGCAGAACTAAATAGAGAATTCTCAATCGAGGAGAATAAAATGGCTGAGAGGCACTTGAGAAAGTGCTCAACATCCTTAGCCATTCGGGAAATGCAAATCAAAACAACTCTGAGATACCATCTCACTCCTCTCAGAATGGCTAAAATCAAAAACACTAATGACAATTTATGCTGGAGAGGATGTGGTGAAAGGGAAACACTCCTCCACTGCTGGTGGGAGTGCCAACTTGTATAGCCACTTTGGAAATCAGTATGGAGCTTCCTCAGAAAAATGGGAATCAATCTACCACAAGACCCAGCAATTCCACTCTTAGGCATATATCCAAAAGATGCCCATTCACACAACAAGGATGCCTGTTCCACTATGTTCATAGCAGAATTATTTGTAATAGCCAGAACTTGGAAGCAACCTAGATGCCCCTCAACCGAAGAGTGGATAGAGAAAATGTGGTGCATTTATACAATGGAGTACTATTCAGCAGAAAAAAACAATGGAATCCTGAAATTTGCAGGCAAATGGATGCCACTAGAAGAAACCATCCTGAATGAGGTAACCCAGTCACAAAAAGAGAAACATGGCATGTACTCTCTCATATATGGATTTTAGACATAGATCTGGGGAGTGACAGCCTACAATCCCATGGCCAGAGAGTCTGGGAAACAGGACCTACAGATTCTTGTTATCTATTCGTAGTCATGAAGCTCACTGCTCACTTCTTAGGGGCCACTAGCCACTGACAGAAACAGACAAATGCCACCAAGAAACCCATCCTTTCAATTCACCAATCCTCTACAGCAGATCTTGAAAGCAGAGAAAAACAAAAACATATGACTTTCTCTTGCCATCTGCAGGGTCACGAATAATGGCAGGCAGTACTTGCTTGCTTTCATGTAATGCTCCCCCACGAGAGGGAAAAGTTTCCTTCCAAGTTCAGTGTCTCTAAAAACGACATTGATCTGGTGTGTGTGTGTACGTTGTGCTATGGCCCATGTTTGGAGCTCAGGGGACAACTCTTGGGAGTCACTTCTCTTCTTCCACTATGTGAGTCCTGGGGATCAAACTCTGCTCATCAGGCTTGGCAGCATGAGCACGTCTCCACTGAGCCGTCTCAGCAGCCCCGGTCTCTTTCTTTCCTTTGGCACATGAGTGTGGTGTGCACACATGCGAGCATGGAGGCCAGAGGCTGATGTCAGGAGTCTTCCTCAATTACTATCCACTTTCGACATCGAGGCAGGCTCAGCCGTTTGAACACAGAGCTCACCGATGCAGTCGGTCTGCTTGCCAGCTTGCTCCTGACACCTGGCCTTCGTTGCTAAGTGCTGCGGTCACAGGTGGACTGCCAGGCACACCTGACATTTTAGGTGCTGGGATCCTAATCCTGGTCCTCACACTTGGGCTTTATACAGAGCCACCTACTCAAGCCCCCAAGAAGCAGCTCTAACTACCACAAATGAGGTACGGACGTGGGGTGACCCCTCGGCAGCTGACTCAGTGTCTTCCTGCCACATAATGAATCTGCTTTTCCCGGGGTGGGGCTTCACTTGTCACTTCACAGCTCAGCCCAGGTGAAACCTGCAAGTCTACTAATTTAGGAAATCCCTGTCAAGTAAGCATTTGTTCGATTTGTTTCCTTCCTTTCTACTTTTGTTTAAACCTCATCAAGTCCTATGTAATTTGATTCCTATGTAAATAGGCACATAAAAATGTCAACAAAGCAAGGCTGCAGAGGGTAAAATGGAGCAGCTCACACACATTTTGCAAGCTACTCTGTCAAGAGGGAAATTGATAGCAGAAAGCACCTTATCTGTAGCTGCTATTGTTACCAAGAGGAATGCCTCAAGATAAGGAGTCAAGATGGCTGGAGGGGAGTAAAACAATGGTATAAATCATGCTTCCCTTGTTGGGCCATTCTCTGCTAGTATCTGGAAGGGAAGACAGGAATGAGCTAATCGAGTGTGAAGGGAAGACATTTATATAGCTATTCCAAGTCACCCTTGTAAATCCAGTTCTTTATAACTAACACCTTGGAGTTGTCGAGGAGGAGTTTTATAAACTTGGAACCATTATTAAGAATAGATATAGCTAGGCCTGATGGCACATGCCTTTAATGCTAGTACTCCGGAGGCAGAAGCAGGCAAACGGCTGTGAGTTCCGCACCAGACTGGTCTACATCGTGAGTTCAGGACAGCCAGAACTGCATAAGGAGGCCCCACATTTCATTCTGGCACCCAAGGTGGGCAGTTCACACTCACCTGGAACTGGAGCTCCCAAGAATCTGGTGCTCCAAGAGCACCCCCACACATTTGGCACTCTCATAGATAGACACATAAATAAATAAAAATGGCTATGTTGCATACATATTCGGCCACTGTTGTCTTAGAACATCTGCATTTTACTGTCACATGTGGAAGTATATAGAATAAGGCCAAAGACTGTGAAGCCACAGAAAAGAGATGTATATAGATCCATACTGGCAGATGCACAGAACGGGCCTAATGCACAAAGGAACTGGAGGTCACCAAGAATTTGCTTCAAGACTTGGTCTTTGTGTCAAGTTTCAAACATTACCATTTTTGCTGCTCAGTCCTCAGAGGTATGCACACTCTACACCCCTATACCTGAATTCTGGAAGAGCAGTGTGATGTGAATGAACTGAGCCCCACTTAGCCATTTCACCTCTGACCTCACTTCTGTTGGGAGAACAAAAATTAAAAAGGGAGTCAGGGAGAAGCACCTGACAGTCCTCTGTCTGCTTCTTATCCCTATAGTTCCCTGTGTCTTTGATGTGGGAGCTCGGTGCAAGCCCAGTTGGGGACTGTCTTCTCCCTGGGCTCACCCCTCTCCCACTCCCCACCACAGTCCTGGTTGTGCTGGCAGAACTCTGAAGTAAGCTTAGATTGTCTGGTGAGACACACAGACAGCGTTTAACAAGCACTGGGATCTTCGCTTAGCCTGGGCTGACTATGTAGTCAAGGTGACCTTGAACTTCGTATCTTACAGTCTGCAACAATGAGGTGTGGAATTATGGTAGAGTTCCATCATGCCCAGTTTAGACAGTGGTGAGGTTGGAACTTCAGGCTCTGGGCAGGCTAGGCAAGCATTTTATCAACTGAGCTATATCTTAGACTCAACAATGTAGTTCAATATCAAGTACTTTCTGACCAACAGGTTGTGTACTTAAGATCAGCTAGTGTCTGAACAAATACAGTAGAACAGCGGTTCTCAACCTGTAAGGCATGATCCCTGAGGTCAAAAGACCCTTTCATAGGGGTCACCTAAGACCATCCAAAAACACAGATATTTACATTATGATTCCTAACAGGAGCAAAACTACAATTATGAAGTAACAACAAAAATAATTGTATGGTTGGGGGTCAGCACAACATGAAGAACTATATTAAAGGGTCACAGCATTAGGAAGGTTGAGAACCACTGATTTAGAATATACTGATTTGAGAACCAAGAACTGTATGATACAATGAGCTTGAAGGCCTCTTCTCAGTCTGTTTATTATTCATGGCTCTCTGTCTTTTTTTTCGAGACAGGGTTTCTCAGTGGCTTTGGAGGCTGTCCTGGAACTCACTCTGTAGACCAGGCTGGTCTTGAACTCACAGAGATCCGCCTGCCTCTGCCTCCCAAGTGCTGGGATTAAAGGCGTGCGCCA